GGGGGGGGGGGGGGGGGGGGATTATTTTTGTACCCTAATTCAATCGCGTCAGTTGTTTCCTTCGCGTGTGGCTATTGGATTTCTTTCGCTTGTTTTGTCGGTTTTATGACCGGAGAAAGAGAATACCGTACGAAGGTTCAATTAGCTGAGGTCAGTGTTACGGGGACACGAGAGCTTTGGAAATGACCAAGTTTCCTACATTATCAAAGAAGAAAAGGATTTGGACCATGTATAGACGAAGGAAAAACGCACAGAATTTGAGTCCTTGGAGAGCACATTTCAAATTTAAAAATTGAACAACGAATTCCAACAATCCTTGGCAAAAGCGCTGTGAAAAAAGAGATGACACATGGATTCAGCTACTTCGAAACATAATTGACAATAGAAGGCTGCAAAGCTGAAGATGACATCTCCTTTTGGAGAGAATATGATCTATTATGCCGCTGTTTAGCATGATCCACTAAAGAATATTTGCTCTTTTGGGAAGAGTTTGTAAGCTTCTTATTGAGACAGTTGGCTGAAAATAATCCCGAAGAATCAAGAGATCATCTACTTGAATCATCAAATTCAACCAAATTAACTGAATCCAAGTTCTCCAACAGAGAACTCAAGTCAACAATCTTCTTATCCTTCAAGTTTCTTCTAAAAGAATCTTCCAAGATAAACAAGAAGAATCGCATGAATCTGATATAACTCCATTTAGGAGTGTTGAGATCTTGAAAAGAATAGGATATCAAACTTTAAAATGCTAAAGATCAAACCATATATCTGGAGATGTTCATAGAGTTGGTTGGCTGGACACATGAGATATAGGTTGTTGGGAGATGATCAAGGAGTCTCTTCACCATTCTCTCCTTTCATGAGAAAGGAAGCTTTTTATGGTAAGTCAGGGCATGTGCCGTTTTTTGGGGTTTGTGGATGGAGAGGAATAATAGAATATGATATTTGGTCCCTTTTTAAATTTCATGTTTCTTTGTGGGCTTTGGTGGTCAAACCTTTTTGTAATTATCCGCTAGAATATGATATTCATACATTTAACTTCATCATCTGAAGCAGTATAATTTTCATGAATCGATGGTAAGAGAGCAAGATAGAAAAAAATGGAGGAATTATTTACCTCAACATCATAATCAGTTAGATAATTAGGTATCATAAGCTTCAGCTACCTCACTTTCGTCTTGCTTAATGTGTTCCGTTGAGGGAGAGATATTACTTCTCCTCTGATTGGATGCAACATCTCCAGGAGATTGTGCAATATTAGTTGTACTCCTACCAACATTCTTCTTTATTTTTGAATCCATACATGTTGTCTTTTCTTGTGAGTGTCATAATCAACAAAACTATTATGCCTAGTCTTTGGATTCAACTTGTGAACCTTATTAAAGGAGATCCTAGAGTTGCTAGCAAAAAATGTGAGTTTTCTTGCGATTGGAACGCACTCCTTGTTTGGTAGGCAGACCCCCTATGCACAACAACATACCCCTACGCATAACAACGTGGTAACACCAATTTCCTAAAATCTCTGAAGTAACTCAACATGCATCTTAATTGAACAAAGAGCATAAAACAACTATCACATAAAACTAAAAAACTACGTCTTATTTCTACAAAACAAAAGGCAACAAGTTGCATCAACTTGATTCTTCACTAGGATCCCCATTTTGTATCATCTCACATGAAAAGGAAATCGATGCCATATTATTCCTTATCCACAATGATCAAACAAGTAGCTATCCAGTTTATGCCCTTACATTTCAGGTTCAAAAAGTTGAGCTTAGGAAGAAGGAATGGAGATACTTTCTGCACTATCTAGTAAGTTTCACTTCCTTGTCTTGCAATTTTACTTGCCTCCCTTCTTCTGATTTTGAGTGACAATCTTAATATAGAGTATGTTTGTTTAAGTGAAAAGTTTCTTCTCATGTTACTGACTGCTTCCAATTTGTCATTTTGCAGGGCTGGAACAAAAAGTGAGTCTCTCTTTCTATTTTATATTTGAATTCACTATTGTTTCAGTCACTTCATCTACTGTGTAGATGTTGTTTTTTTTTTTCCTCCATCGTGTGACTTCATCTAGTTAGGCTTCATATGCTAGCAATTATATGCTTCTTCCTTCTGCTTTCCTTTTCATTTTTTTCTACTTTCACATTATTTTATTAAAATGACATTAAAACTTCCTTAAGAATGTTAGAAGCATAACAGGGATGTAGAGACACCGGGTCATTTTTTCATCACTTGCAGCTTTGCTTATAATTTTGTCCAAAGATCTTTGCCTTGCTTTAGATGCGATCAGTTGGCATTTTACTTCAGTGGAAGAGGATTGCATTGCTGTTAAGGATTCTGCCATTGGGATTTTCTCTATTTCGATAGAGCATAAAATTAAGGACATTATAGATGGCTGGATTTAGGGGATTTACGCCCATGTAACTCCTACTGGTGTAAGGAGTTTTGCAGGAATTGTTTGATTGAGCTAGGCTATATGAAGGTGCTTGGTGTATGGCGGGGGACTTCAATGTGATAAGATGGATGGAAGAGAGACTTAATTGCAATAGAATTACTAGAAGTACAATAAGTTTATAGCTGTGAATGATTTAATAGATCCCCCATTGTTATGCGGCAAATTTACTTGGACTATTGTGGAGGAGAGTACTTCGGCTTTGAGGATTGATATAATTTTTTTTTATAGGGGTTGGGTAGATGATTTTGAAATCTCTAGATTGAAGAGGTTAAATCGTCCTACTTCAGATCATTTCCTCCTTGGAGAGGTATTTGGGAATAATATAGAAAAAAGAAAAAACATGAGATTCTTCATCAAATTGCCCAAATTACCTAGTTGACCTAGCATGGTGGTATTTCTCCTTAGCAAAACGATGATAGAATTAGGCTGAAAGCTTCCTTGACTGAAATGATTATTAGTAAGCAAAGAATGTTGAGCCAGAAATGTAAGATTAATTGGTAAGAGGTAGGGGATGAAAACACTGCCTTCGTCCATAGATGGATCTCAATCAAGAAGAATAGAAATTTGATCTCTACTCCCGAAAGTAGCATGGGTCAATTGTTGTTGACTGAAGAAGAGATTGTTAGCTTCTTTTGGAACTTACACTTCAAAGATGATGGAGTCGATGTGGTCCCTCTCAATAGATTTAGCAGCTCTTAGTTAGAAGGCCATTTCAAGAGGAGGAAATCCTCAAGGCAATTTGAAGCATGGGCAGCCTAGAGAATTTGGCTTCTCTCATTAATGAAATTCCTTCTGACCATCATTTGGAATATCTTCAAATGGAGAGAAACTTCGAGGCTTTTGAAAGGAGGTTTGGGGTGACTGGTAGACAATGGGAAGAATTTCTGTGTTTGGTGCTAGTTATAGAGAAAGATAGTTACCAAAGTTGCAAATATTCAAAAGGTATTTTCTCTCTGAAGACACAAAATGGTAACCACCTTTCTCCTCTTAACTCCGATCTCATACGCT